AGCAGCAGCAGCAGCAGCAGCAGCAGCAGCATCATGCAGCATCTCAATTGCACAGCAGCACATGCACATGCACCACCAACACCGACTCCCTTCGCGGGAACCGGAGCTCTCGGAGCCATTTGGTTCGCTACGCGCTGTGTGCTGGGGGGATGCTGCTTAAGCCTGACTGAACGACTGCCCGTTGTCTTGACTCTTTCTCTCTCTCTGGCCTTGCAATGATATTCGCGAATGAGTAGTGAATAATGTTGCACTCTTTTGCGCCGGTGCAGTAGCGACGGTCGAGGAACCGCTAAATTGTTCTCACGGTACGCAGACAGCAAGCACAAGCCTCGAGCATCAGGAAAGACAAGGAACTCACCGCACATTTCCGAAAGGCCGCCGCCACAACCGCGACCGAAGCGACGTTGAACGGATGCATCAGTATCAGCAGACCGCAAATACAGTCGTCAGTCAGTCAGTCAGGCAGTCAGTCACGGACGCTGATAGTCGACGATGCAGCTTTGGTCACGAGCGATTTCGTGTTTCACGTCTTCGGCACTTTCTCGAGTCACAGCATTGCTGGTGATTCATTCATGAACGAACGCATTCGCTCCACGTCGATCCACGATTGGGGCGTCACAGCTAGGCGGGCCCCAGCTCCAGAATTTGCCAGCGGTGAATGCTGTGTTGTTGAGCGCAGGACAAGGTCGAGTCGCCACGGGGTTTCTTGATCAGATTCAACTCGGTTTGTTTCAGACTTTGTGATTCGTTCGTTCCTTTGTTCGTGCGACCTGTTCACCGTCGCTTCGTACGACGTGTGCATCAGTCATGAATATTTTTGTCGTTTCGAAGAGCCATCAAATTACAAGACCGTCAGTGTGTACACACACAACAATCGTGAATATACGGAGCGAAGTCGAACGAATGCACGTTCACAATTGCTATTATTACAGTAAAAATTGCAAGAGTGGAGCGCGGTCATACGATCGATTGAGAATTCCCGCGTCACAATCGTGGCGCCTCTATTTACAACATTCGTGATTGACCGCCGCCTAGGCACGCTCGCCTCCAGCAAGCCTGTTTGAATGCTCGCAGTGACAGAGTCGTGGACTGAGAAGTTGCCTCGCAACTACTCATGTCCCCGCTCTTCTCTTGTCTGTCAAGCGCGTGCTCGCTACCTTCGCATCTGACGCAGTACAGCGCCACTGACCTCAATCGATATGCTGCACGCGCGGGTCTTGCTGCTCGATCTTGACTTGCTCATTCGCCACTCGACGTCTACGCAAATGCCGGCCTCACTACGGACTCCTCCATCACCGACATCCCTCGGACGTCCCGCTGCGCCAGCTGGCGGCCTATCCTGTCGCAAATGAGAGCCCGGGAGTGTGTACCCCATGTACGAGAGGACGCATCAGTCAATTCATCAAAAGAGGCGTCAACAAGCCTTGTTTGTCACTCACGAGCCAATTGAGTCTGCATGGGGCGCGATTCGGGATTGAAATAATTAGCAAGCGGACGCGCTTCGGCTCCGAAGATTGCGGTCGCATCTCGGTGCTTCCCTTGCTTATTGCGCACATGACCTTCAAGGTCTTGCTTTGGTCATCGGTGGCTTGTCTAATGGAGAACACGTCAGCGGTCAAGGCACGACGTGCTGCTCGCGCTCCAACTCGGTCCATAAGGCGCTCGCGCGTTCCAGCTCTACATGGCTCTCATATGAGACTGCTGCCTCGGCGCGCCCACGCCGTGGTTTCACGGCCAACTCGTGACTGCCGCGTCAATGTCCGGTATCTTTGGGAACCATCGAAGCGATGCCTTGCCGTCACAAGACCTTGCTGCTGCAATAAAACATTCTTTTCGTCCAAGCATGGACGTATAGCGTCGAGCATGAGAGGAGTGTTCACATTATCCGTCCAAGCAGTCTCGAACAAGCCGCTGGCTTTGGCGCTCGATTTGCATGCCGTCGACTGGACTGGAACAGTCGTGACTCACGACTGCTTGTCCAGCAAATCTGAACGTTGAAGCAAGGCATCGCGGATGATTGGATCGCTTAATCTGACGTCGAGTCAGCATCGCAGCTAGCAAGTCTCATCTCGCATATCTCAACAGTCACGAGTCCAGACTCTATGCGGGGCGGGCAGCAT